AAAAAAAAAAAAAAAAAAAAAAAAAAAAAAAAAAAAAACACCATAAGGACCTAGGATAAAAATAATAGCACAACGCAAAGACTTCATAACTGACAGATATTAAGCTCCTTCCTCATATCTGGAGTTGTGAGTAACTGGAACAGAAGAGGGCATGCAAAATATTAAAGTTTGTTTCTTCAGAAGGATTTTAGAAAGTACTCTTTCTATAACACAGTAAACAGCAAAATGTTGTGATGTTTTCCAAAAAAAAAAAAAAAAAACCTCTAACATCGCATCCTGAAGTGCAGCTGGCATAGTGCTCTCCTGTAACCTCAGCTGGAGCATCTCCAGTTCCCAGACAGCCAAGCTCAGAGGGAAATAGTCTCAGAGAATATTCAGGGATTGGAAATTATTTTAAATAAAAATAACTCCAGGCAGTGGTGACACACGCCTTTAATCCCAGCAACTGGGAGGCAGAGGCTGGTGGACGTCAGCGAATTCAAGGTCAGCCTGGTCTACAAAAGCAAGTTCCAGACCAGCCAGAACTGTTACACAGAGAAACCATGTCTAGAAAAACCATGAATGACTGAATGACATTAGAAAGCTACAGGAAACATGAAGGAATCCTGTTAAAGCTTGGAACTAAATGACAGAAGATTCCAGAGGAAATGACATTTTCAAGGAAGATGAAGCCGATGCCTCCAAGTCCAAGTTTGATTTCTAAGACACAGAAGTTATACTGTCAAAGCAGAGTACTTTTCGCCATAATGCTGAGAAAATTAATAAAGTAAGTAAGGTTGGATGAAACTCACCTATAATTCAAGCATCAGGGAGTCCATACCAGCCTGGGGTACACAGAGACTCTACGTCCAGCCTGGGCTAAATAATAGAAAAATGTTAGACGGTAGAGGGTTGGTATTAATAAAATGTCTATTGACAGGTGTTAGAAGAACAAATGGTTTCAAGAAACAATAAAACTGAATTGATGGGATGGTTCGGTGAGCTAAAAAGACACCTACCACTGAGCTCTGGAGACTTGAGTTTGATCCCTGAAGCCTCAACCGAGGCACACATGCATTACACATGCACGCACACATGCACACACATATACAATAAGTGCAAAACGGGCTTTAAAGAAAGAATAGAAGATAGAACTTGCCAATATACCCAATAAAAGAAATTTCAGGATACTAGCTATGCATCAGTCATAAAAGCAGTAGAGAATCCATCCTGATAACTAAGGTTGGTGTTTAAGCCTGTATATATGTATAATCCCAGTATTCAGAAAGCTAAAGTTAACAGATCCTGAGGCCTATCTGGGTTATGTAAAACATTCTAGTTAACCCTAGATCACACTAAAACCCTACCTGAAAAAGAAAAGAAAAGAAGTCTCAAAGAACAGCAAAATAAGAATCTGGATAATCTTGGGAACTACAGGTACTGCAGGGGAGGCTGAGGGGATCCAGAGTCATCCTTGGTGACAAAAGAAATTAGAGCAGCCTGGGCTACCAGAGACCTTGTCAAGAAAAAAAAATTACAAAATAAAATCCATTGTAACTGAATAAACTTAGCATTAAATCAGTGGCTGCATTCTTTACCACAGATTAAATAACTCAGTCTTGAAAGCCAAGTGAGTCTCATTAAGGCCCAGATAGCGGTAGGACTGTATTGGTGCACAGTCGTCTGTGCTTTGAGCAAGACATTGGCGCAGCAGGACGGAAGGAGGAGTCCAGCATTACAGGTACCCCCCCCCCCCATCTGGGTCCTGGATTCTAGGTAAGGCATCTAGTAGATGGCTCAAACTCCGCAGTCTGTTTTAAAATATCTGCTCCAGCTAGGTGGTTCTAAATAGAACTAGTGGCAGCCAGAAGAGAGAGCCTGTAGGGACTTGCTCTGACATAGAGCTGATATCTATAAACAGATCAGTAGCATGGAGCAGGGCATCCTTCTAGTTGGTGTATTGGCATGAAGATAAAACCATACCTAGTTCAGAGCCCACTGTTATTCTACAGATAAATAGAGGAGCGCACCACCTCCCTGGGGTTTGTATCTGGGGCATCAGTTTGGCAAGTAATCGAAGTAGCCACTAATGAAGACCCAGACATTTGTGAGGAAAAATAATAGGTTCGAGAAGACATCATTGCAAATTTTACTCTACATTCTTCAAAAAGTTCAGCAGATTAATTTTTCACTCAAAAGGCAAATTAAAATCCGTGTGACAACACTGTGAAGGCCAAAGGGAGGGGGCTTCCTGAGTTCAAGGCCATCCTGGGCTACAAAGTAAATGCCAAGCCAGCCTGACATCCTAGCATAGTGCTGTCTCAAGTAAGGAAATAAATATTCTGGAGAGGCAACTGGACAGGATGGGGTGTAGCTCAGTGGTAAAGTACTTGGCTGCGTGCACAAGGCCCTGGACTCAATCCCCTAGGACTGGACACATTAAAAATGGCAACTCTAGCCAGCTCCATTTACCATTTGTAAAAGGCTACAGAAATACCACCGCTAAATAAATGCTGAAGCTTTATACTAAGCTCACTGTTTGAAGTAAACTGTGATTAGTCATCATGGAAAACCATTCTGTGTTCTATTTCTCTGCCTTCTTCATTTTAGACTTGATAAGGTAAGAGGATGGTGTAAGAGGAAGGAAAAGATTACCAGGCTAAGGCTGCCTGCCATGCACAAGGCCTGGGTTTGATTTCTACCAATCGAATAATAATCGCTATTAATACTCTACTCAACAGATACGCCAGAAAACTGCAGTAGAACTCCACTGTGTCACAGTCTATAGGTGTGACAAACACACACCATGGGTTGTTTTTGAAGTTTCATGTGTGACTCCAATATGCAGAAGAACTAACAACCACTAGCCTAGAAAAGTCATTTGTAATGCTGAAAGTCATGGCATGTTTACTATTTTAAAAGTCATGTGCACAATTCTTGTACATTAATATTTTATTTTCTCAACTTTCCTCATATATGTATTATAATTATTCAAATATTTTTTTCTACCTAAAATAAATGTTTTCGTGTCAATCATTGTTAGTCTCTTTGCCAAAAATCACACTTGCTATTTTCTTGTTTTCATCTCTCAACAGGAATTTGCGGCCATGAAACAGATCATCATTAATATGTGTAGTAAACATTCTGAGAACAACTTACTTCTTTCTAAAGTGGAATCAAAAGGTGTGACAGAAAATCAAGCATCTAAGATTCTGAACATGCCAAGAGAACATGAAGACAATGTGTTTATACCCAAGCCAACACTATTTGTAAGTACAGCTAAAAATATTTAGAATTTAAGCTCTGGTTCTCACTAGATATATTTTTCTTCTCATTCGTATTTGTTTTAAATTAATTTGGGCAATATTAGGCAAAGGCCTTGCAATGTCTATATTAATCCCTTTCCTAAAGATGTACATTACATGAGTATTGGATTTTATGTTTCTAATTAGCATCTTGAACTTGACTAGAAATTCTCCTAATTCTACACCTTTCCTTCTCCCATCGACAGGAACAATCACAAGGGACTCAAATTTATTCTGCATGGTTTTTATCTTGTATAGGCACATGATTTAGGTGTCTGTCCATGTTCATAGGGACCATGTGAGCCACTGCTCATCAGGGGTTAGAGGACAACTTCAGGTCTCTCGTTTGCTGCTCCTGGCGCTCAGGCTTCCTGGGCGTCTTCAGTCTCTACCTCCTATGCCATCATAGAACACTGAGATTCTAGACTTGCATTGCTGCGTCCTGCATTAGTGGATTCTAGGAATCCACACTCAGGCCCTCACGCGTGTGTGGCAAGCACTTCACCCACTGAGCCGTCTCCCCAGACCATAATGTTTTAATTTACATGAGAATAAAAGGATGAAAAGTAGCACCTGCTCCCACTTACTTATAAATACTATGATGGCTCTTCCATAAAGAATACAAACAGTTCATATTAACTGGAGCTAGACAGAACAGTATACGCCTGCTTCATCAGCCACCTTGGGAGGCTTACGACGGGAGATTGTTAAGTTCTAGACCAGTGTGCTCAACTTGATGAGACTCTATCTGGAAATAACTTTTACAATAAAATTAAAAGGGCTTGATAACACACCTGTACTCCTGGAATATGGGTGGTGGGGAAAGGAGAATCAGGAATTCAAGGCCAACCTCAGCCGCATCGTGAATTGGAGGTCAGCCTGAAATATAGTGGAACCCTGTCTGGAAGAAAGGGATGGAGAAATGTGCAGAAAATACTTTAGGAAATATTAAAATGTATATGTTTCAACCAATACTACAAAAAGGAATTAAAGGGCAGCAGAAAACGAGTGGCATTTTTGATTACTTTATCATGGTTTTCAAAAAAAAAAAAAAAGGTGGGTAGGGAGGCTTAACTTGCCATCCTACAAGACTCAATATCAGAAAAAACATTTTAATATTCTAACTCAGTAAGTCCTTGAACTTCAACTTTTTTAAGTCCTCTAGATGCTTATAAAAACAAGTTGTGGGGGAGGGGAAACAAGGTGAACCCAGGCAGTGATGGCACAGGCTCTTAATCCCAGCCCTGGGGAGGCAGAGGCAAGCAGATTATCTTCTGTGAGTTCAAGACCAGTCTGATCTACAAAGCAAGTTCCAGGACAGCCAGAGTTACACAGAGAAACTGTGTCTCAGGAGGGAAAGAAAGAAAAAATAAGTTCAGGATTTGTGACCCCCGCCCTCTCCTTACACACACTGATCAGGCTTTCGAGATCAGTGATATGGAAGACATTTATAATCATATAATCAAACCCCCTTTCCTTTTCCTCCCATGCCAGGGACTGAACATCCTTCTTGCACACTTGTTCATGGCAAGGATTCTTCCTCTGAGGTACAATTCCAGCCCCTGGGTGTTTAGAAAGTCTCATAGAAGACTTTGCTAGGCTGGCCTCAAACCCCCACAGTGCTAGGATTATAGACCCAAGCCACCGCAAAGCCTTAACTCCAGTCTCTGTCAAACAATGGAAACCTATTGTCAGGGTCCATAGGCCAGGCTGATGGCAAGGAAAGCAGGAGGCCTCCTGTGAGCAGTCTCCACACAGGCAGCTTGGGAGTCCCAGCAGCCGTGGCCATGAGCTTCCCCGTGCACGTCAGCGGCTCTCCCTGTCCCCAGTTATGCTTGCTCTAGGTCCCAGCCTTCCTCTGACTCAGCCCTTTGTCTCCATGCCTTTCTGTGCCTTCTCCCCACAGCTACTGTTTCAGCACACACTTGCTGAAGGGAAAGAGATCAATTCTTTATCTCTCCAACTTGGTTGTCTTCTTAGCTCTTCAAACTCCATGAAATACTTGGGTAGGCAACTGAAACTCTGGAAAGCGAAAGAGGCAGTGCGAGCCTAGAGTTAGTGGCACCTGCGCACGGAGGTGTGCCCCTCACTCGGACACCTCAGTTCAGTGCTCAGCACTTGGGAGGCCCAACAGCATAGCTCACGTAGTGAGTTTCAGGCCAACCCGGAATTCGGAATGAGAAAACTTGTCTCAAAAAAAAAAAAAAAAAAAGATTAGATTTGTATTTCTAAAGTCAGAAATAATACTGTAGCCTCTTCCACATATAGTTTAGCAGTGAGCCCTTTGAATTAAAAAACTTCTGAGTGAGCTTGGAATGAGGGAAGGAGAGGCGAGCGATCCCAGACATTCTCATGTTTTGTCCATTATAAACCCAGACTGACTGCCAACTCATTGAAGTTGGGCCCTACCTGTGAAGACTTAGAAATCCATATTTGTGTCCCAGCCTGTAGCAGAGTAATTATGTCTACTAAACACAGCCTTTCCCTTCCTTAGAAGCTGGGCTGGTTAAACTCCTGGAGCCTTGATCTCCAGCTCGTTTTCTGGATCCCAGGAGCGATCCACCAGGTGTATTTTGTCCGCGTTTATCAGCCACTGTTCTTTCTAATTAACAGACCTTCTCAATGTCTTAGAATCCCCATGTTATAGATTAATGTTTTTAGCTGGCTACTTCTGGATGGCACAAAGGTTTTTTGTCTTATCAGTTAATCGACTCCAAAGTCCCCCTCTAACTAATGAATTACTTCTGGTAGATGCCCAGTTAATCTCTCATTGTTTCTGCAGCAGCTGTACGGGTGCCTCACAAATCTGGAGTACTTTGTTTTGGGACTTGTTAACACTGTACTACAATTAAAGTGTTTTTATTAGTTTGTACTGTTTCTCTATAAAATTATAAATATAATTAGCTTAAATGAGCACATAATAATTATGGCAGTGTTCATAGTAATAAAAGGTAATCATTAATATGTCTCAGTAATGTTACCTACATAAATAAATGAAAACTGGCTTCATCTGAAAGAAGTTCTGTGAGTTGTGAATTTAAAATAAGGACTCTTCTGGGCAGTGATGGCCTGTGTTTTTAGTCCAGCCTCGGGAGGTAGAGGCGGGTGGATCGCCTGAGTTTGAGTGCAGCCTGGTCTACAGAGAGAGTTCCAGGACAACCAGGGCTACACAGAGAGACCCTGTCTCCCAGGGGCTAGGGAAGAGGGGATGGTTAAGGACTCTCCTCACTTAAAAGGCTAATTGTATTAATAACTGAAGGAGGAATATCAAATTTAGTACACATAGCACCATTGTATGGTGGAAGGGCCAATAGAGATACTACTGTTCAAACATTTGAGGGTAGAATTACCAAAATAAAGACTAGCTAATTGTAGATCTGAATTATTGGGCCCACTTTATCCATTGTCTGTTTAATGTGAGAAAAGTCTTTATAAAGAGTCAATGCCTCTGTGAGCCCCATACAGTCTCTAATACATTTGCTTATTGTTATAGTTCTTTTAAAATATCTACTTCAGTATCTAACCCATATGCAAACAGCTGTTGATCTGTGGTCCATGTTATACTAACTAAGAATTGGTAATGGATTAGAAAACTTCTAGTATCTAGAAGGTAAAGCTATACTAGCAAACTAGTAATAGCACATCAGTAGCTAAAATATCTGGAAATGAATTACTAATTACTCATTTTACGGGAATCAGAAATCAACCTTTCTAAACCACTGTTATTCACTTGGCATTTGTTCACATTTTGGTGGTAACAAACTTAGATACTAGGGTAGATGAGAAATCACATATTCAGTTCTAATGTAGCTCAAAGGAGCATGAATTACAATTAATATATGACCAAGGGCAGAAGTTTGCCAATAGCCAGACATGATGCTGCATGCCTGTAATTGCAGCAGGAGAACCTCATCACAAGTTCAAGGGCTGCTTAGGTTACACAGCAAAACCCCATCCAAGCCAGGCAGTGGTGGGGTGTGCCTTTAATCCCAGCACTTGAGAGGCAGGTGGATCTCTGAGTTCAAGGTCAGCCTGGTCTTCAAAACGAGTTCCAGGACAGCTAGCACTGTTACATAGAGAAACCCTGTCTTGAAAAACCAAAAAAGTAAGGAAGAAAGGAAGGAGGGAGGGAGGGAAGGAGGGAGGGAGAGAGGGAGAAAGAAAGGAAGGAAGGAAGGAAGGAAGGAAGGAAGGAAGGAAGGAAGGAAGGAAGGAAGGAAGGAAAAAGGCCTCAGCATACACGTTGTCTCGGGTGATAACGCTGACTTTGATCAGGTGTAGCCCCACATGCCGGTCATCCCATCAGTTGTGAGGCAGACAGGAAGATTGCCACAAGTTCCCAGCCAACCAGGTCTACATATAGGATCTAAAATAAAAATGCATTCAAGTTCGTAAAGCTAAATGTGGTACTTCTGTGTCTTGCTAATTGGGCAGTTGCTTAGAATTGTAAATGTTGCCCATAGTTCTCTCTGGTTAGTTACAGCATGTTCTCGCCCTACTTTCATACATGTTCTTTCATATTGCTTAGGATAAACACTTAGGTATGACCGCAAACCTCATGCCCAGTACATAGAACTGAACAGTCTCTGTCATGACACATCCAAACCATATTCATTCATTTCCTTGTGCCGAGTAATATTATACACAGTAGGTTCTGAGACTATTGTTCCTCTTTACATTCCAGATGGACATAGACTATAAATCAACACACAAAAGTAGATTGAAGCTTTCTTCTTTTCACAATAAATATTTGAAGGGATTCACTCTGATTTGAACATTACACAATTACATATTGAGAGGTTTCACTCTAATACCTTACAGTCTAGTAGGGGTAGGGTTATAGCTCACAGGTAGAGTGTTAACCTGGCATGCACCAGGCTCTGCCTGCATTTGATCCTCAGGACCACGGAGGAAAAAAAATATCTATCTTTATTGCCTAAAATTCAGAGCTATGTTGAAGCGCTGGGCCTGATAAGCCATAATCCTATCCCTCAGAAGGCAGAGGTAGGAAGGTTGCAGTTCAAGGCAAGTCTGGGGTGCATAGTTAGACCCTTTCTGCACAGCACATAATAGACTACTGTACAGAATTACAAAATACAGAAAGCATGGTGCAGAAGAGCAAGACAGGAAGGAGCAGGAGGGTTGAGACGGTCTAACCTCCTGAAAAGGCGATGCTTGCCTGGAAGGAGGAGAGCCTGCCCAGCTTCTGCGGGAACTGGACTCTCTCCATCCTGTCCGCACGCATAGTACGGAGGAGGGTTTTGTTTGTTTGCTTGGCTTGGCTTGGTTTGGTTTGGTGTTGGGGTTTTTAAGATAGGGTGCCATTTTATAGTCAGGGTAGCCTCATGTGGAGCACAGGTTGGCCTCAAACTCATAGCAAACCTCCTGCCTCAGCTTCTGTGTGCTGGGAATATAAACATGAACCTCCACAGTCACCACCTGGAGTGATTTTTAAAAGGCAGTAATCTGATAAACTAGATTCTGGTGAAAACTGGCTCTGCTATTAAATACAGAAGGCTATAAAATGAGAAATATATAGTAAATGTGTGACCAGTTTAACAGCAGTCCACGTAACTAGCACTGGAAACAGAACATTGTTCCAGTATCACTCCCTACCCCACCCCCACTGCCAGGGTCTTAGGGATCTGAGGATGGCCTGACACTGGTGTAGAAGATAGCCGTGGATGTTTGTGCATTGCCACTTCCAGTGCACATGGTGCTGGGGATCGAACCCAGGACTCTGTGCATGCCAGGCAGGCTCTCTGCCGTCGGAGCTGCATCCCCACCTCCTAATGCTGGTGTGACAGATACATGCCACCAAGCCCATCTTTCAAGGCATTTTGTTTAAAAACTCCCATTTTCCCTTTTTTGCTATACAATAAAATATATATAAGTTCAGCCATATTAACTACATTACATGTATAGTTTAGTAGTATCAAATATACACAATCTTGTAAAATCTCTACCTTGATCCTTTAAATAACCCCCTTTTCTTCCTTCTCGCCGTTCTACATTCTGCTCCTGTAAATTTCACTAAATCGGATCTATCTTTCTGTGGCTGGTTTATTTCACTCCGTGTAATGTCCTCAAGATCCATGCCTGTCTCTAAAACAACTTAGTTTTAACTGAGCATGGTGGTCCATGGCTGTAATCCCAGCCCCTGGGAACCAGAAACAGAAGGATTACCCAGGAGTTTGGGGGCATCCTGATCTACACACTGAGCTCCAAGCCAAAGAAGACCACATAGTGAGACCCTGCCTTCGTCTCAGGGGACATTGCATTACTCACTGGGGTCACTGTCGTGCACATCCCCAACAAGAGCACAGGAGGAAGATGTTCTGGCTCAAGGTTTTGGAGGTTTTAACTGTGACCACTCTGCTGTTTCCCAGCATGTGAAGCAAAGAATCATAGCATTGGGGGCTCATGGCTAAGGCTGCTGATGGCAGTCAGGGAGCAGAGCCCAAGGCAGGGACCAGAAACATTGAAAAGCAGGTTCCGGTGACTTCCTCCAGCCAAGCCCCACCTCCAAAGTTAACACTACCTCTCATGTAGTGCCATCACCAGGGACTAAGTAGTCAACACAGGGTGAACATTTCATAGTCAAACCATAACTGTCATTTAGAACTATACACATTCTTTTGAAGGTATCTGTTTATTCCTAAGGTTTACCTTATTCTATACACAGGGCTCTGGGTGGTGGTGGTGCATACCTTTAATCCCAGCACTTGGGAGGCAGAGGCAAGTGAATCTCTGTAAGTCTGTGGCCATCCTGGTCCATGAGTTCCAAGACAACCAGTACTGTTGCACAGAGAACCCATCTCAAAAAAACCAAAAACCCTGATTCTATACACATGGTTCCTGCCCAAGTGCCCCATAGCGTAGCAGTGAGAAACTGTGTGTGCACTACAGCGTGATGCACTAGATAAAAACAAGTACAGAATATTGGGAGTGTCAGCTTTGTCTTCCCAACTCTTGCTGACAGTAGTGCAAGACGAATTACTGAACTGGAAGGGAAGAAGATGTGGAATTTTATGTTAATTTAGGGCGAAATTAGCAGATACTGATGGAAGAGAATTGACAGCTATAGGAATAGATGGAGACGATGGGACCCCTCCCCATGAAAAAGGATAGGGGAAGAACACATGCCAGCCAATTGAAAGTAGCTAAAGAGTCATAAAGGAAGCTGGAAGGGCACTTAACTGCTTGCTTTCTTGCTTTTTTTTCTTTTAGACCAACAAACAAACAAACCCAAAAGACAAAACAAGCAAACAAACTGGGTCTCTCTGTACATTTGGCCGACCTGGAACTCTATAGATCATGCAAGCCTAACTCCCGGAAACCTGTTATCAGAGGCCGCTAATTTGTTCCCTGCCACCCAGACTCGAAATAATCATACAGAAGCTGTATTATTTTCAATACTGTTTGGCCAATAGCTTAAGCATATTTCTGGCTAACTCTTACATCTTAAATTAACCCATTTCTATTATTTTATATTTTACCACAAAGCTCATGGCCTAGGCAAGGTTCCAGCTGGCAGCTTGCGTCTTTCTACATTGACAACTACATGGCTTCTCCTGACTCCACCTTCTTTCTCCCAGCATTCAGTTTAGTTTTCCTCACCTATCTCTATTCTGCCATGGACAGGCCCAAGACAGCTTCTTTATTCATTCACCAATAAAAGCAAAACATACACAGAAGGACTTCCCACACCATTTCCCCTTTTCTGTTTAAATAAAAAGGAAGGCTTTAACTTTAACATAGTAAAATTACATATAACAAAACAGATATCTAGCTAGAATTATAGCTACAATATTTATATCTACTTTATCTTTTATCATAAGCAAGGAAAACTATAATTATAGCTATCTATTCTTCAACTCCATCAAAAACTCCAAAAGGATATAATAGTACCTAAGTAAACAGGAAGTACATTATAAGCAACTTCCAAAACTCTAGAATTGACAGAGATGTCTCACTGCCTGGACAGTTTCTGTATTGTTGGGGCATTCATCTTCAGCCTAGAGGCCCATAGTATCCGGAAGACTTTTCCACAAAGCAGGAAATTTCAAAGACAGTTCCACCTATATTCGCAATTTGTCAGTCAATTTTTCTGTGTCCTGCAGAATGTCTGGCAGACTCTTTGGTGAAACAGGAACCCTGAAGGACCATCTCACCTTTAGGCAAGTTCAGCAGTCATTTCTCTGTGTGTTCTGCATGTCCAGTTCATCAAGCAGTCCAGGCAAGAGCAGTTTCTTGCCCAAATGGCTAACAAACTACATAAATAGCCTCTTCAATGCCCATCTTCCTCTTGAAGTAGATTGGTACTTCCAGAAGCAGATTTGTCTGTCTCATGTCATAAAAAGTCCTAACCTCCTAAAACATTTTAAATGCCATATTCTGAAGGTCTCTGAAAGATTTGAAGAATCCCTCTCTAACTGAAATATGTCTCTATATATCTAGAAAACATGACTAACATGACTACAAGCTTGTCTATTATGGACGACTATCTATTAACCTATATTTCTTAATTATACATTACATTTTTAAATGAGCTGCACAAACATAATACCTTAATCAAGAGCAGAAATATAACAAAATTGGCTTTAAATTTATATCAATAAATCAAGATCCATACCAGTGCAAATTATTCATCTTTATAACATAACACCCTTTAAATGTAAACAAACATTTATAAACAATCATTTAGGGAATTTGGGTGTAGTTCTTTCTAAACTGCTTCTTGCTTTTTGCTGGGCAAAGTATTTTTAGGTGGTGTTCATGGCAACCTTTCAGAAGATCTTGGTCCATCAAACCACATTAGTCTGGAAAGATTCCACAGGTTCTCATCTTCTGTGGAAACAAAAGAAGAACCTCTTTTCCAAAGCAACAAATCCTTATACCCAAATTTTGAAGCCAAGGTAACCTTTAAAAAAAGTATATATGTTGGTTTAGCTTAGCAGCCCATACAATGAAATGTCTCTCTGTACTTAGTTCCTTTTCTGGTGGCTCCATGGCATCTCTGACTCCACCTACTCTCTCTATATATATCTCTTTCATCCTGGCTATATTCTGTTAAGCCATTGACCAAAAATGCTTCTTTATTAACCAATAAAAAGCAACACATATACAGAAGGATTTCCCACACTAGAAACCCACCTGCCTCTGCTCCCAATTGCTGGGATTAAAGGTGTATACCACTATGCTTGGCACTAACAACCTTCCTAACAAACATACCTCTGTTTTTCTTAGTAAGATAGGGTCTTATGTATCCCAGGCTTGCTCAGACTCACTGCATGGCTAACAATAACCTTAAACTCCTGATCTTCCTGCCTCTGCCTCTCAGTGCTAAGACAGTGGGCATGAGCCACCACACCCAGCCCAAATATACCTATTTTGTCATTGTTTGAAGCAGGGTCTCAGTTTGTAGTCTAGACTGACCTAGAATTCCTGCCCCAATCTCCTGAGGTGTACACCACAATGCCCCAGATAAAAACATCCCTTAATTTGAATCTTAAGATATAGAGGAAAGGGGGCTGGAGGGATGGCTCAGTGGTTAAGAGCATAGCCTGCCCTTCCAAAGGTCCTGAGTTCAATTCCCAGCAACCACATGGTGGCTCACAACCATCTGTAGTGAGGTCTGGAGATACACACAGACAGAATATTGTATACATAATAAATAAATAAATAAATATTTAAAAAAAAGATATAGAGGAAAATAAGATTTTATAGAAATAGATTTAAAACTAAGTTCTTCCTAGTACTAGTTATGATCAAATGTCCACAATACACAGAAATTATTTTTAAATGTGATCTTTAAATCGTGATTTGAATCCCAATCAACACAGTTCCAAGACAATCTGTTTTTCCTTTAAAAACTAAAGCTTTTTAAGAAATATTAATTAGATATCCAAAAAATCCAATATCCAATTTTATTCAATGTCAAAAGTTGGGTTTATATAGGGGCCAGCTGCCAAATACTCTCATTAATATAGATCGCATTTAGATGAAAAGTTAGCAGCAGAGATCTGTTTGATCATTAAAACAGCCCTTATTGAGCATCATTTTATGACTTCCCACAGAGAATGCTTATTAAGTAGATGATTCAAGTAAACAACTGGGGCTGGATATGTGGCTCAGTTAGTAGAACACTTGCCCAGCATGCATGAACCTGTGGAATCAGCCCCGGCACTACATAAAACCAGGCACGGTGGCTGTGCCTGTGATCCTAGTCCTGAAGGAGTCCAGGCTTCGTGGGGATCATCCTCAGCTGCATAGCTGTCTCCTGCTGTGCTTCCTTGGGAGGACGAGGTGGTCTGATGTAGCACACATTGTGTCCATGCTCCACCTCCCAGCTGCTGGACTACGCCACAGCCCAACAGCATAGGTAACTTAAGGCCCACGTTGACGGTGCAAAGCTGTCTCAACAGCAATAATAATCCATCATAAAGGCTCCAGGTCTTTAAAAGGGAGCCAACAAGATCCTGAGGTTTCAGGGCAGGCATCCTGAGTAGGGGCGGCTTTGAACGGTGGCCTGAGGCCGGATGGTTACCACTTTGAGACTAGTTCAACCTAACAGCAAACTGTCACATAGCGGAGAGGGGGACAACGGGGAATACGGAGTACTTATGTTGAGGTTTAAGTGTTTTACATGCACTATGCCACTGACTCTCCTAACCACCCTCTGGAGCCTATCGCTGTACCAGCCTAGGCCCTTAAAGCAAACATGACAGGGTTGAAGAGACTGCTCACAAGCACCTGGAAACCAAGAGAGGAAACAGGACCGCTACATCTTTTAAGATGTGAGTTGACTTATAGCTCTCAAAACAATACTAGGTCCAAATAACTTAACTGGTAAATTCTACCAAACCTTTCCAGATGAAGTCACACCAATTCTCCTTAATCTCTTTAAAAAGCAGCAAAAATTTCGAATTTGGGGGTCGATAGAAAGGTAGAGTGTTTGCCTGGCATGCCGGAAGCCCTGGGTTCCAGGCCCAGCTTCACACCAATCAGGTATGGTAAAAGAGCCATTTTCTAAGCACTTGGGCAAAGAAGACAGGAGTATCAGAAGTTCAAGGTCATTTGGGGCAGTTTGTTTAAAGCCAGTCTGGGTTGTATGAGACCTTGGAGAAGGGAGAAGAAGGGGGAGGGGGGGCAGTTACCAACCTGTTTTACAAAGCCAGCCTTAATCATGCTTAGTGCTGGTATGTAGTTCTCTGCATCGCTCCTGCTTATAAGCATTTGATTTAATTTACTCATTTTTTTTCTTTTCAGACTAAAACAGATGCACAAGAATGGTCCAAGAACCAAAAGATGAAGGCCTAGTGTTTGGTGCTGGAAAAAGCCAGAACGTAACCCTAACCTAGCCAGGCCCCTCCCTCCGCACTGCACCCCCAGCCAGGCCCCTCCTTCCACACCACGCCCCCAGCCAGGACCCTCCCTCCGCACTGTGCCCCCCAGCCAGGCCCCTGCTTTGGAGTAGAGTGTGTACTCCAGAAGTGCTGTCTCTGTTGGGGGAAAAACGTTCATTTTAATCATGTACTTGACATTTTCAAATATAAGTAACTTAATGTTTATTTTAACTAATGTTAAATTAACAAATTTCAGTATAATCAATATATAAAGTACAAATAGTCGTATGCTTTATATTTTGGTTTTATGTATTTTGTTATAAAATAAATGCCTTCTATCCTCTAACTAGATTGTAGAGTTTTCATAAATAGAGAGTTCTTCATAAGGGTTTGGCTTGTAAATATTTTGATGAATAAAATTCCTGGACTATATAAATTCTGAGATCACATAATACAACTACCCAAACATCTGACATTCTTTAACACTAAGAACCATTTGTGGCTGGACAGTGGTGGTACATACCTTTAGTCCCAGAACTTGACACAGAGTCAGGCAAATCTCCGTGAGTTTGAGGCCAGCCCAGTCTACAGATCAAGTTCCAACACAGGTTCCAAAGCTACACACACATACACAAACACACACACAAGAAAAAAAAGGGGGGGAACCCTGTGTCTAAAAAAACAAACAAACAATAAAAACCATTTGTGGGGCCACAAAACCATCTAAAATCCATGCCAGAAACCCAGAGGAAAAAGGACCTGATTCCCAAAAGCTCCTGTGCTCTGGTTATGTGCACCATGGCACATGTGCACCCGCATACATACGAACAGCACGCTACATACAACACACTAAAGTGTATAAACTGATAAACCTTGTTTTTCTTTTGTGAAGAGGGGTTTCCCTTTGCTTGTCTTTGAAAAATCTCCCTGTGTATCTGTGGCAGGCCACTGTGTAGTCTAGGCTAGCCTCAGACTCACCTAGCTCCCAGGTCTGAGATTAAAGGTGTGTACTATCACACCCCTGGCTCTTAAAAAACACGTTTTGGTGTTCTTGGCTTTTTCCTTTATATTTCTGATGTGGGAGTGATTTCTTACTAATAAAGAAACTGCCTCGGCCCTCATAGGACAGAAAATTAGGTAGGCGGAGTAGACAGAAGAGAATGCTGGGAAAAAGAAGCTTTAGTCAGTGAGTCGCCATGATGCTCCCACTCCAGACAGACGCAGGTTAAGATCCTCTCTGGTAAGCCAGCTCGTGGGCTACACAGAATATTAGAAATGGGTTAGAACAATATGTAAGAGCTAGCCAATAAGAAACTGGACCTAGCCGGGCCAGGCAGTGTTTGAAAGAATACAGTTTCCGTGTAATTATTTCTGGGTATAAACTAGCCATGTGGGCGGCCGGGTGCCGGGGACGCAGCCCCGCCGCTCCTATTTCAACATATTTCCTATTCTCATTAAGCAGGAAAGTCTGATATCTGTGGTGAAGTAACAGTTTGCTGAGAAGTCTTAACATTGTTAATCAGGGGGCAGTGCCAGGCACACATCAGTTCAGTGGGAAAGGAGCAGTCGAATTTGTTCCGTCTTACCATACATGTTCCCTTAGGTATGTGGTCATGCCTAAAATCCCAGCCCTTGTGTGGGGAAAAGGAGAGGTCTGGGGCTGTTAGTAGCTCAGTGGTAGAATGAAGGCTTAGCCTGCAAGAAGTGTTCAACTCCAGCACCATGGAGGAGGACCCGCAGCAGCAGCAGAAGAACACACTGGGCATGGAACTTCGGGTGTTGAGCTAACAAGAGTTCAGCACTGTGCTACATCACCAACCTACAGCATACAAACAACATAGACAGATATGTCATAAGGCAAGATTACAACAAAGATTTTGTTATTTCCCGCCTCAGGTGCTGGGGATTGAACATAGGGCCTTGTGCATGCTAGACAGGCATTCAACTGTATTACCTCCCTGGCTTTAGAGGATGGACCTTAATTGACTTTGCTTTTTACTGTAGAAATAGACCACTTTTTTCTATCAAATGGAGTCAGTGTTCCAATTAACTGAACAGACATGGTTAGTTTTATAGACAGGCAGACTGAAGTTCTGGACAAAACCAGGGATGGACCCACCAGGAGTCCTCAGGGGGGCAGCATTTGTTTGGTTTGAGTCCACAGGCCAGGCCTCAGTTTACACCGGAAGTGTAATATCTGTGTCCATGTGGAGTCTTCATTTGTTTCTTTCTTTGCTTTAAAATGAGCTTTGGCTGTGTGGCCCTGCCTGGCGGGGAAATCACTCTGCAGATAAGAATTGCCAAAAATTTGCAGCGATCCTCTTCCCTGTGCTTCCGGAGGGCTGGGATTACAGGTGCACACCTCCGTGCACGGTCTCTCTCTCCTCTTATATCCGACTATGAAGTTACCAAAAATATTCAACCCCCTCCCCCCAGGCCTTTTCTCTCTCCATTTTGTAATTAATGCATAGACGAGAAGTTTCTGCCCTGTGCTCAGGTACAATATGCCAGTACTTAACAAATACTTGTCTCCCATCCACACTGCCCCCTTTAACACCTGCCTCCTTGACAGTCCTGTTCACTGTCCCATTGCTCCTTAAACTTAACATGTCCAGAGCTGAACTCCCCTAGCTTGTCTTCTGGTGATGTCATTTTCAATAACTCATATACCCTACCACCAGCTGCAGTGCATCCACAACCCGCCGTCATCCCTGACCCTTCCTGTAGCTCCCCCACTAACCCCAGCCCTCAGGACTCAAGTGCCAAGCCCTAATGGACTATATCGCCAAACGGTTATTTTTTTAAAGATTTATTTATTTTTGTTCTATGTGTATCGGTGTTTTCCCTGGATGTATGAATGTGTACCACATGCATGCTTGCTCTTCATGGAGTTCATTGGAAGGTGTAGGATTTCCTGAGCAAACACACAATAGTGGGAACCAAACCTAGGCCCTCTGCAAGAGGAGCAAGTGTTCACAACCGTTGAGCCCCAATCCTGTTTTGTTTTGTTTTTTAAACAATGAATGAATGGATATTTCCAAATGCACATAAGAGTGAAGGGAAACCGAGGAGAGAGAAAATCACTATCTCAATTATAGTAATGTTTGTGGTATAAAACCATCAGTGCTCACTAAATGGTGTTTGAGCTGGATGCCTCTGGGGATGACTAGGCTTTCACACTAGTAGTCAAGCCCTGTAACACTAGGTCAAGTCAGACTGGCTTAGCTGAGGCTAGCCTTGAATTCCTTCCTTCCTCTTTCAAGAGCTGGAATGACAGGAGTGTGCCTCCGTGGCTTAAATTACACCTTTTAAAAAGGCGCACTAACTGTTTTACTCAATGAGAATGTTTTCTTTCTTTCTCTCTTTCTTTCTTTGGATTTTTTAAATTGATTTTTATTGAGCTCTACATTTTTCTCTGCTCCCCTCCCTGTCTCTCCTCTCCCCCTCAAGTTCTTGCAAGATCCCCCAAGCTCCCAATTTACTCCAGGAGATATTGTCTTTTTCTACTTCCCGAGGATGTTTTTCAAAAGAGGAGAAAGTACTTGGGGCAATCACAATCTAGCAAGTTCTGACAAAGCCAATGATTTGGGTAACCATTACCAGGAATGCAAAGCAATTAGATAAAGGATATCAGAGACTCTGTCACCTGACTTCCAATCAATCTTATCATCCATCAGTAGAAAGGAGACAACCAGAAAAGACTCTTGGTAGGATGCTGTGAACTCAAAAACAGCGCTTGTAAGTATCCTTGCAAAATAAAGTTTCAAACTGGCCCAGATCAAGTCTTCAAGTCAGATATAACTTCCAGTCTTTGGGCAGAACAGAACACGGAAATGCCAAGTTAGTGTCGGTAGCTCAGTGGTGAAGGGGCTGCTTAGCATGCACCAGAGAACAATCAGCTCCGAGGAAGAAAGGTTGGCTCAGGCCCAGGGCCTCAGAGCTTTCAGTCCAGGGTGAGTTGGCACCATTGTCTTTGGGCCTGGGGTGGGGCTGAGCCCGCTGGCGGGGTCACATGACCAAGCAAAGCTGATTGCCTCACCACAGCCAGGAAGCAGCAAAAGCATCAGCTTGGCCGGGCGGTGGTAGCACACGCCTTTAATCCCAGCACTCGGGAGGCAGAGGCAGGCAGATCTCTGGGAGTTCGAGGCCAGCCTGGGCTACAAGAGCTAGTGCCAGGACAGGCTCCAAAGCCACAGAAAAACCCTGTCTCGAAAAAAAAAAAAAAAAAAAAAGCATCAGCTTGGGCAGTATCCCTTCAAGTCCCTCCCTCAGTGATGTAACCTCCTTCTACCAGACCCCACTTCTTAAAGGTTCCATTGTCCCTCTAATGCTGCCACATGTCATTTGGGGGATTTAAATTTGATGATTCTGACATCCTACTTACTGTATGAGTGAGGCACCTAGGACTTAAAATTTGAGGCATCGTTGTCTTCAAGTGTTTTCGGAGAGCCGAGCGTGTTATTCTCTGCAGTCTAGAACATTTCTTTTTCTCTCCCATGTTTCCTTTGTTTGAGTTTTGTTTACTTGTTTGAGACATGATTTTATGTGGCCCTTACTGACTTTGAACCCTACACCTGCAAGATAGCCCTGAACTCCCTGCACCCACCTCCCAGGTGCTGGGATTATAAGCACCTATGTCACTAGGCCTGGCTGCTGTTTTCTTAAGTCTTTTTTAAGTAATTATTTTTAATATTATTTTTAACTAATATTTTTTGAGGATTATCTGAGATAGGAGAAACCCTCATCAGAATATATTGTATGGAAAAATGTTTTCAGTAAAAAAAATATTGTATTTACTCTTTGAAAAGTATATATACTTACATATAAATATATGTATGTATATTGATCATAATTGCCCCCAGTATCCTCCCTACACGATCTTCCAGCATCATATAATCATAGTTTACACTGCACTGCATTATAAGAAATCAATTTTATAAGTAGAAAACATACAATTGAAGTAATTATGAGCTGAAAGCCAGTGGGTCATGTTTTTTTTAATAATTATTTATTATGTATACAATATTCTGTCTGTGCGTATGTCTGCAGGCCAGAAGATGGCACCAGGCCTCATTACAGATGGTTGTGAGCCACCATGTGGTTGCTGGAAATTGAACTCAGGACCTTTGGAAGAGCAGGCAATGCTCTTAACCACTAAGCCATCTCTCCAGCCCCCGGGTCATGTTTTAATAAATAAAATTCAAGCTTTTTATCCAGGTAAGGTAGGCATACTATAATCTCAGTATTTTGGAGGCAGAGGCAACAGGATCAAAGTTCAAGACCATCCTGGGCGACACAGTTAAAAACAAAACTGTAAGTGACCAGACAGATGCGCCTGGC